CGGTAGTTTTAACCATGAAGCAAACTTCTGGAAGGTTACTTTCGGTTTTGGATTTTTCTGACCAGTAGAATGTGTAGTCGACACTATGTTCTCTGAAACTATCATCCTTATGGAGATGAACTTTACTGAAAACAGCAATGTCGATGTTAAATCGTGATAGTTCGTGCACAATAAGAGCAGAATGACACTCAGAATACTGTTCACATTACCAGGCATGGTTCTGGTATTCCAGCATGCGAGTGTCAATCTGAGCACATTTTTAGAGGCAGGTGTACGCTTTCGTCTTTCATCTTTATTTGATCGCGTTAGAAGATGCCCGTTGATTACGGTTAGCTTACCGGGTGGAAATGGAGATGAGCTTTTTCTAGGCCTCTCTTCGCGTGGAGCAAGCAATACTCTCCTTGGAAAAGGCTGCTTGGTCGTTCAGGATGTTGCCGAGCAAGATTGTCATCTTCGAGGTCAATTTCGACCAGTGTTCTGAACCGCCTGCATGCAGGTTAGACCTGCAGCACTTATCACCTGCCATTTCGTATCCCGCCTGTCACTACAGGACTTTAAAAAGTGGGCGTATACTTCGAGACTGCGCATTGGATTTTTTAGTTTTTAGGTGAGGCATAGCGTGCGCTGAACTTTACTCCTAGGGTTCATCTGCAGGCCCTAGTGGCTTGGATGGTAGCAGCAAAGTCCTCAGAATATAGATCTAGTTGGAATACCTTACTCCGAGATCAATGGCCTTACAGGTCCAATGACCTCCATCTGCCCGGATTTGGGATCAGAATCGTCTTTCTCCTACGATGCTAACAAACCCATCCTGCCCGTGAACATACTTTGTTTGTCAAGAGGGAGAAGCTTTATGAGGTTGCGAGCTGTGCTAGCAAAGTGCCTCCAGTAGAGCTAACCATGTTAAACAGCGCTCAACTGAAGGGCCAGACAGGGCTATCCATTTAGAACCATCTCAGCGCATCGTGTTTTTCCGTAAATATGAAAATAACCAAAAATTCTCAGATTATGCTGACAATCTTCGTACATCCACGTGGAACAAATTGCTTTACTATTTCATAAACAGGTACTAAATTGGAAATATAACGTTGTGTCCTCTATTTAGCAATCCCGAATTTCATAGGTTTTTCATTTACAAAGCAAACCATCATCCTTTTGTTTTCGGTGAATTTTTGTCTCTCCGCCAAATATTTCATGTTTATTTGCGTAGTGTTGAACAAATTACTTCAGCATAATAGCTTTGTTTTGATATGGTAAGCATAACAAAATGAAATGGGAAAAATTAGAAGTTTAACCAAAATTAATTCAATTTACATAAAGATTAAAATTCAAAAACCCGAGCATAATTCATTTACAAAAAATACGACAGATAAAAAGGTAAAAAGAATACGCGTATGGATAAGTCAAACAAACCAAAGTGCACAATAACACCTCAATTAAGCTGCATGTGTATAAAATTTAAGTATGCTTTGTAATTTGAATACGACCAAGTTGAAGCATAACTTTGTTAGTTAATTGGAGGATATTAAAAAAACAAATTGAAAGTATTTCAGAAGCAGTGATTATTTGACCTTTTATTTCGTTATTTCAAAAAAAAAAAGGGAAAGAGGGAAAAAAATGCAGCCGTCGGTTTTAAACGGTTCCGCTGTCGTAAAGGACAATACAAATTTAACTAATAGTTGGAAAAAGAACTCCAATAAGTAACGACAATTACTAATAAGAGAACAATGATTGCAACATAAAATATCAATGATAAATACCAAATCACATAACCCTGTCCAACAGCAACAAATTTTGAGTATTGGAAGTGTTAAATTATGAAGAAATGAATATATGAAATTATATGTAGCACTCATAACAGATCAGTTATGAACAAGAGGAATTACGGATAAATTGTGGAAATTTGCCTTCTTTTTATTTCCTTTAGAGGCTAAATGAATTTTGGTTTTCATTTAACTTAAGGAATGAGGACCTTAAGATTTTCAACAATATATTTTGGAAGTGTGAAGTGGAAGGGAATTGAAATGTACGAAATCTAGAAGTGTACGAAACTATCAAATCTTTTAGTAGAATATTGCTAAAAATCAATCAGATGGGATATGAATCGGAAATGAAAAATTAAGTTGCTGTCATGAGCTGCGGAAAAAAGATGGCCTTTGCAGATTGTTTTGCGTGGGAAATAATTAAATGAAGAAGGCTGAGAAAAGGACTCATAATGAAAATTAATAGGAATTTAACCTGGAAATTCGGGAACGATCTAAACCGAAAAACATACGTGGATTTTCATATAGTCACCGGTGGAATCAACGAACCATCATTATTCTTAACAATACCACTGATTATGCAAAGTCTAATCTTCCTTATAAAATAAATTTGGTAATATAATACGAAGCAAAGAAAAAGAAATCACAGTAGGTATAGAAATAGATGAATTTTCAACGAAAATTTTGAAATGCGCTTTCTCCCAATGAATTACTACTGGAAGCAAGCGCCAAGGAAAAATCTCACATAAAAACAATCTCACATCCACGAAATCCAAAAACTTGAAAGAGATGCACAGATTGGGATCGATCGAGAATAACTTTCTAGCAGTGCAACAAACAGCAAAGAAAGATAATGATGTAATTGATATGGCTAAGAGATTGATGCAGGATAATTTAAGATGGAAATCCAGACTACAAATCGAGAAAGGGATTAGCTTAGTTGTAAAAGACGGATATGCACCCTAAACGATTTACAAAATAAAAGAACTTATTCAATTTGCACCTAACCATCATTCAGCAGTTTGTTCAACCTTCATGACGGAATTATGGATTTGATTATTGTATGGATTTACTAATGCTAATACCGAATTATTCACCAAATCTAGCTGGCACTGCATTTCCGCTAAACATTGACCTGATGCCGATCCATCTGACGAATGCTGTGATTGCTGTGCTGCTGGATCTACCGAATCACGACCCGTATCGTCGATGTTGATATAGTTAGTTGACGCAATTGGTAACGCTGCTGATACTGGTGATTCTGGATCTGGTTTTGGGCAGAAATTATTTGGATTCATCAATGTCTGCACAAGCGTTGTCTGTTGCTGATGCGCTAGCGATGGGAAAAGGCTTGTTTCGACTTCAATGGGACTGTTTCCTGGTCGAACAGCTGGAACAGATATGGGAACGGAAGTAGCTACCGATCCAACGATTCGGTCATCGAGACCCAACCGATCTGTTTCCATTGGCGTATTTGACATACTAGCTGTTGGTGATGGTGATGAAATAGCATCAGGTGAGCTCTAAAACCACGTTTTCCTCGAAAGAAAAAACTTGAGTTCGATTCTTTGGCAGGAAATGACGCCAGTAATGAGTAAAATGAACCAATTTTAACAGAATTTATTTTCAAGAATGAATTTCTATTTAGGTGAAGTATTTAGATGGATAACAAATTGATAAATCAAAAATAACTACTCCCAAATAAAACCTTAACTTGACTCGCACAAAAATGAAATTTATTCCTTTATAGCTTTCTTTCCAAAGTTTGCTTATTTTTTAATGTTTTCTCGCTTTGTAGAAAGATATCAAAACAGTCATCTTAGAACTCAACAATATGTAAAGTTAGCTTACAACTTGTGACAGATTCGCATTATTAGCTTCGTTACACTCATCATTAGACCGTCGACGCAACTCCTTCCGTTTGTTGGCAAACCAATTTGCAACAACTTGTGGTGATACTACTTCCTTTGGCATCAACCCAACTCCTACATATAGCATCGTTCAAGCTCTAATCCGAATAACTTATCCATAAAACAATCTGCCATGAAAAAATGTAAAGCGGATCTTTATAAATTTAACATGCCTTTCTTATCTATTTGCAGTGCCTGATTACAGGCAGTAGCAATCTCAATTCGACGGTTTAAATCCGGAAATGGTGTTTGAGCAAAGAAACCCTCTAAAATTCGGATTAAGATCGGGCGAAAAACATATCGTTCGCGACGTTGTGGAATCAGTTCACCATCACCATTTGTCTCTAGACGAGTGGATGGATCGGCAAGGAAAGAAGCTGAAAAAATGAATTTTTCAAGTTTTTAAACTTATTTTCAAACTAAAAAATTAGTAAGTTTTGTATTGAACTCTTGACTTACAAAGTTTTTCTGGATGTCGTCTACAATTCAGATACCAGGAATAAATATTTTTCCGACAACGTAATGACAATTCACGATGATTACCATTGAGCAGTTTTGAAATGTATGGCTGAGAAACTCCTGAATTTTGAAAAATAATTATTAGGTAATGATCTGAGATATGAGATCAATCTTCGGATAAATACCAATTTAACTAAAACTAAAAATAGGAGTGACTTAGAGAAACCCTATACAAATTTCGAATCACACTTGAAAGTCCTAATCAGTTCCAGCAAAAAGCAAAGTTATTGAAAATCTGCGCAAAGCCAACCCGTCATCATAGCAACTGTCGTTTGCCTAAGTGAAAATTGCGTGATGAACTTTTTCATATCCAATATGCAGGCTTCTTCGCCTTGCTGCATGAATTCATCCAATTCGCTGGGATCATCCAACGTTGTGATTTCACGCATCGGTGTTCTTTGGGAACGGATCGGTCGACAGTTAGATGGTGAAGAACCCTCGAAATTGTACTGTCCAAGGAGGCAAGTTGGCGGTATTGGAGCTGCAGCAGTAGCTACCGCTGATGTTGCCGCATCGTTTGCACCGGTAGGTGTTGTGGCGCTGGTGGTTGTTGAAAGAGGTAAGGAATTGTGGATAGCGCATCGGTCCGGTGATGTGGTTGGTAGAGACGGCGAAGATGATGCATTTATAGTAACTGGAACTGGAGCCTGGAAAAATTAATGAGACTACATACTAAAGAACATCGATGACTCAAACAAGTTGAAGAAGGAAAGGTTCATATTGTAAGGTAATTACCACCGAATTCTCTTTGAATTCAGCCCACTTTTTTTACCCATTCCATTCACTAAATAAAATCAACTATTGTTGTTCGCATGTTAGAAGAAGGAAAAAGATGCCCTCTTTCAGGGACTTCTGTTCGTTGTTCTTTTCCTGATACCATCAAGTGAAAAATTAAATGGAAAAAAAAATAGTCGAAATAAAAATCGTCCTTCGACATAGTAAATCTCAAAGTACAATTTCGACAAGGAATGTATGTCGTAGTTGATATAAAGATTGATAATGTAAAGGTGGAAAGTAATTAATTCATATCGTAGCTGGTATCATCCGGTCACGATCGAGAAGACAAGAAACGTGAATGGGATGATGAAAAAAAAAGGAAGGGACATGAACAGTAAAAAAAATTATCTTTATGATAAGAAAGAATTGCGCGTTCAAAAAAGCCTCTCTCTTCAAAACATATTTTCAACAGCCGAGTTTCTCATGTATGTGAATATGTAAGAAACTTTAATAAAATGTTGTCGCAATAATCAAGAACCCAAATGCAATATCAACAGAACAGAGCAGGTAAACGATCAACAGACGTAATTTCTCGAGTCTCTTATATTACTTTTGGCTAAGAAATCAATAACAATTCAATTTATAGGCTTATTCTCAATTTAATGAAAAAACATTGATGCTCTCGTCTGAGACTAGAAAGTAAACATTCGATACTTAGTTTCTCTACTTTTAACTTTAATGCATATCAAAAATCATCGACGATTTTCATTCATCAGTAAAGCTTAGATTTCCTTACTTTGGTTAGTAAAGAGTTTCGCCAAAAAGTCTTTCTCAATTTTCATCAAAAGCGAGAAAAAAGTCACCTGTAATTTTTCATACAGGTAAAAAATGACAAAAACAGAAGTCAGACAAGTAGAATATTGAAGAATGATTCAAATATGAGATTGAAAATGAGCGACAGTGCAATGACAATAATTACTATCTTTACTAGTTTATAGAAACTACAGTAAGCATATGCTGTCTCATCTGAGCTTCATCAAGATTACTGCTTCTTGTGCTGTATGCAACGCTTTTAAGAGATTTTTTCATCATTTTGCACGAAGGCTTTCATTTTATTGTTGTTTTTCCATCGATTTCAGGCATAATCCAATTCAATTTTGGAATATCTTTTTATCCGAAAATAAACGAAAGATGAGTTTCTATAATTTTTAGTACCAAATTTATGAATTGAGTTAGTTTTAATAGGTTAAGAATAAGAGTTAAAGAAATAAGCCATTTGTTACACCTTTTTTTTGAGTAGTTTTATCGATATTCTCCAACTGAAGTTAATAGAAAAATCTGCGGGGTAAATTAACCTTTTACAAAATGCCAATTATTGAAAAACACATGAATAAAGTGTGAATTTAACAAGGAAAAATTCTATTTCTAAAATAAAAAGTGTATTTTATTTTGACGATTTTGATAACTTGTTATTAAAACAAAAGAAAATCTCCGAACTGATTAGATATTGCAGAGTAGAGGGAAGATTGACAGATCAATTTCTTGTTACTAAATTAGACAAATATTAATGGAAAAGTCGTACTAGAGATGTGCTTTTCAACTTTCTCAACTAAATAACGAAAGTTCTATTGTGGAAGCCAAAAATGAATTTTCTACTAATTTGCCAAAATCTGAACAATTAGTAGGGCAAATGCAAATCATTTATAATGTGGTCGGACGAGATCAGATGGAAATATTGTTTGCTTATGAATGCAATTAATGTATTGGGATAAAATATTTAAAGTGAACGACTGGCCATTTTTCTTACCACTTGTCTACAGATTCCATTCATTAAATTATAAAGCTGCAGAGAAAATCTAACGAAGGAAAAAAAATTCAGAAAATGAAAACTTAACATGAAGAGGAATATTTTACCAAATGTTAAAAAGTTAATCATTTAGTGATTAACTTTTGCCTAAGCAAAATATATCATCAGTGTAAAAAGATAAGTGTAAAATAATGTTGGAGAATGTCTTGTTCTATCCTTGTTAACAATGGTGAAATACCGAAATATCCAAATATTAATCTTTTACATCAGAGATTAACAATAACGAAGAAATAAAAGGGACTAAAACAATAAAAAGGATGAGGACAAATAAAGAGCGACAAAATCGTTTTTCAATTCAACCTATCAAGTTTTTTAATCCACTTAAATATACAGAATAAACAGAGAATAGTAATGGTGGCGAAATGTTATGATATGAAAGTTACTAATGGAATTTAATTTTTATCCAGGTTTTTTTCTTTATTACTAGTCTTTTACGAAAACTACTCAACATGTCGCGTAATGGTTGATGTCGAAATAAGACAAGGTTTATTTTAAAGAGATTAAAGTTAAATTGACTAGTTAACACTTGCATTTCAAACGATGTCTATCTAAGATCATCAAGGAAATAATTTGACGCTCTTGCTGAGGATCAGTTACAACTGTACTGAGCCATGTCTGGCTAATTACTCTATTAGCGACTTCCGTAGAGAACGAAAGGAAAAAAAAACCTAGGTTTCTGAGATGTTGCAGTAGGATAGGACTGCTTAGTTCGAACGTATTAGCACCATCATCGAAATGGAACATTTTTGTGGCGGGTGCAATGAGCGCTGCCAAGGCTGCTGTCTGGATTCGGGCTGCGTCCAAATCCGCTTCTATTTGTTCTAGTGCTCTAAATGCCTGCAAACTTAATGCTGTCATTGAAGATCATAACTTAGAAGTTCTGTAGAATAAAATATTGGCCGTTGAAGAAGGTTTTTCAATTTAATCGATCATTAGATTGCGCATTTGTGACAAATAGTAATTTGGTGTAAGAAATTTTTTTGATGCATAACTATCAATGAAATAAAATAAAAAAAAATTTCAAATCAGGAAATAAAAGAGCACGGAGTACTCAAAAAGGCCTCAAGTAGAAAAGGAGATAACTATTAATCCAGATAATCAAAGTTTCAAAGATATTCAAATCTACCTCAAAGGCCATTCTAAGTCAGATCTAAAGAAACTTCAATTCCTCTCGAAAGTCATCAACAAATTTTTGAACACCTTCGTTTATCAGTACAAAACGACAAATAATAAATCTTTTCCTGGTTTATGAAATATTACTTAAAGTTTATAATTTATGTATGATAGTGTTACTTGTTAAAAGTAAATAATATATTACAGTTTATATTGAGCATTAATTTGCAGTCAGTAAGAACACATAAATAAAAGGTAAATGTTAACCTACGCTAATTAACTGCCAAGTCCAAATAATTTTAGTGATAAGAAAGGTAACAAGCTGCCCTCCTATCCCTTAACTCATATCAAAATCTTTCTATTTAACAGTTCGCAATTTTAATCTTACTTTCTGCATAAATTTACTCTTTCTCTTTCTGCAGCAAACAAACGTGGCCTCATTCTTCAATTCTTCGATCTTGTCAGCAATACTCACTACAAACCAATTTTATCGTTGTTACAGTCAAGATATCTCTTCATATCAGTCTTTAACATCTATTGTCCGCTCTCTTCTCTAAGTAATAAGTCAAAATTCATCGCAAAAAACTCCTCTTTGCTCATTTTGGCAATTTTTATGGTAGATATGAATACGTCAATAAAATGAGAAATCAGACCCATCTTATCATGTCGACAAACGAAGAGATAAATGATGTCCTTAACTTTCCTTTCATATTCTGTTAGATTTTGTGTTATAAATTGTGGAATACATATAAATTATGAGAAAGTTCATTAATTTTTGAAACGTTTCCTATAATTTATTTATGAAATATGCACATATTTGCTCACGATGATATATATAATAGAAAAGGAAGTTGCATCCTTCTCTCGATTCTTTTATGTAGACTGTGATGATGTAAGATGTTGACAGGTATGCTCAGCAAAGATGTTCAATTTAACAATCCTTGAAAAGTACAGTGAAGATTAATTGTTTAAGTAACAGTATTGTGTAACACACCAAAGTGATTAATCGGTATTGAAAAGTTTGTGTAAGATATTGAAAACAATGAGATACAGTATGGAAATTATGTGGAATGGCCGTATAGAAACTGAATTTCATGTACTTTCCAGCATCATAAATGTAACCATCTTGATTTATTTTATAGATTTTAAATGAATTCCAGCACGAAAACTTCTACATTTTGGGTAAAGAATCAAAAACCTTAGAAACAATTCAACTCACAAAAACTCCTAAGTCTTTAGGACCTTTCTTACTGTACAATTTATCGGTAGAATACATCGATATTTGATTACAATTTTCTAAAGATTTATACATATTTCTTAAAGATTTCTACAAATTTATACATATATGTACTAACCAAAAGAAATTGACAGCCTAAGCTAGATAGTTTAAGATTCTACGAAAAATGACATTGATTTTGAATCCCGGAAAAATAATTTTTTTTCCACAGCTTCTTGAAAAAATTCTAATTTTTTGACGTTCTTGAATTTCCTCATTTTTCATTTGCCAGTTTCTAAAATACATCATACCACTTAAGAAAAAAGTGAATTTTTAGATCAATGCAGACAGGTGACGAAGATAACATGTGGGAAAGGAAAAGTTCATATTCTTCCTAAAAAGTAGGCAAATTTTTTCACTTTATTTTCTTTCACAATACATCCCTTGATGTTTAATAGCTAACTGACACTCTGGCCCCGTTAAACTGAAATTTTGAAATTTGGCAACTGAGAAAGTTGTTTTTTGGGTGTTTTCAAAGTTGATTATTTCTATTTTTTCTCTTTTTGTTATTTTCTAATTCTTCAGATAACGAAATAGGCTTCTGTTTTACTATTATGAAAGTAAATTGGCAGTTTGAGTTGCATAGATAAGTAACTTCGTTGTAAACACTCAAAAAACAAGCTCACGATACAGTTTCCCAGAAGTTTGGCGGATTTCACTGACTCTTCTGCTTTTTCCATCGATATGCCAAAAGGCTGGGACTGAAAGGTTGGTTGAAACGTATGAATTCAGAGAGGCAATTGCTATTAAGCGGTTTCCAGTTTTCTAATCAAAAATTAATATAAAGCTATTAGCATAAAGCAGAAAGATGCTGGCATATAAAATTGCACGGTAGTCGATGATGTCGGATCTGTACCACTCGATAATCGAAAAATTTGATTGGCTTATATCGAATACCGAGGGATATTGGCAGTGATATAGGATTACGATACCGAAGATTTTTGAGAGACAATAAATATCGCTATCATCACATTATCATGTATGCCTAATACGGTGTATTTCTCGGTAATAAAATGTTTACAATTACCGGATGGAACTGGTTGAAAAAGAAATTTCTATATTGCAAGAAACAGCATCGAGTCTAAGAAAAAACAAAAGAAAAAGTTCACCTCAATAACAGCTTCAGGTGTAATACCCGTCAAGCGCAATCGTCTAATTAATTCGAGCTGCTCCACCGTGAACAGATTCATCTTCTCCTCCGACCAATTCTAGAAAGCACTTTATTAAAAGAAGCATTTTGATGATAACCATAAAAGACGCAACTGCTTGACACACATCGTAAATGCATCAACTAAATTTGCATACAAAATAATAAAAAACACATATATTTGGTAAGCAATATTCAAAGTGACCAGACAACCTTAAGATGATGACTGACGTGTTTGGTAAGTTTTGTGAGCAGTCTTATTTTACAACAAATTTTGCATAATTCATATGCAGTTATTTGAGCAATTGAAAAAATAGAAAAAGAGCGGGACAGTAGTTTCAGCGCTTTTACCGAATGGCGAAGAGGCAGAGAGGTCGTGTGGACTATCATTTTTGCAACTACTCATCTATAACTGCATTTTAATAGGTTTATCGAAAGGCAACATTTATGTTTAAATACAGTGTAATGAACATCAGTTGACAGAATATGAAGTGAGCTATGATTCTCTAACTAAAGCTTGAAATAATGCTATAATATTTTTCTGACTGCTTCAAAATAATAAAGAATGTGAAGTGCAATATTCAAGAGTGTCGGATTTTTCGCTGATCGAGGTCGAAAGCTTAGCCTTCTTAAGTGATGACAAGGTACTTTTACAAGATACAATAGTACTTTTAAGTTTCAGTAGACGGTATTGAACACGATCTTTGAAATACACCTTTAAAAAGTAATATTCAGAAATGAACGATCAGTAATAGTACTTTTAAATGGAGTTTCAGTAAAAGGTATGGACAATCTGAACACGCTGTTTTGTGTGTTACGTAAAGATACATCAAATAATGGCTTAAAAATTCTGGAAGGGAATTTTCAAAGATTTAGAATTGGAAGACAATCTGGAAAGGGAGGAGCAATATATGGTGCATAAAAGGAAGTAAAAACTTTGAATTTCACATTTATAAGCATTTCTTAACACAGAGATGGCTCAGAATTTCTGCCAATTTCAAGCTATCTCTGCAAGCCCAATGTTGGAAGAAATAATTGAATTATATAAGAAATGAAAAGTCATATCTTGATGCATTTTTCTTTTATTTAGAGAAACGAAAGAACAGTATGAAAAGACTTTTGTACTTCTCCAAGTAGTGAATTAAACTGAAGAAGAGGAGGAAGCGAAAGATAGAAAAGGATCTTTTTTCCCATTCGAAAGGAACTGTTTTATGAAAAAGGCATATCGACCTATATCAAGGAGATACTTTTAGTTATTTTAAATGATAGGTAAGACAGAATGTTGTGCTAGGAACATATCGTGTGGATAACCTATCCATTAAGTAAATCAGTCACTGAAAAGCAAAAAACATTAACCTACTAATGGACTATTGCATGTATTTCACAACAGTAAGTAGCCATTTTGTTCCAGTAGTATGGAATAGAAAATCCCAATAACCATTATTGCGATCCGCCGCATAGAATATCCACAATTATTCCTGGGTTAAAAACCATTTATCATAATCACATTAGTTTATTTTGTTAATGCTCGTGCTTACTTATCCTTGTTTGACTGTAGCTCATATCAGGTCTCCGTGGAAATGAACCTTTGAACGTCTGAGGAGTGGATTAGTTGTCGCATGAACAATTCCATTTGCAGGTTCATTGCTGGCAATTGATGTAAAACTGTCTCAACTGTATGATTCATTTCAAATCTTCCAAAAACGGTACAATAGAAAAGGACATTGGCGCTGTTTGAGAATGTTTATCTTCAGCGGAGTGGATTTTGTGAAATGGATAGTACGAGAAATAAAGAAAAAATACGAGAAATAAAGAAATAAATGTTAAGTTTCAATATCAAATATATCAATACTATAACATAAGTCATTTCTTACTGATTTTATTTTGCATTAATTCGAATTTGGATTTCAAACAAGACAGACCTATATACTTTTCTTTCTCTCTTGGAAGGTGTGTCTATTGAGTTCCTACTTATGGTTGCTGTGTAAACTGGTACTTTAACCGGACATATCTGATGAATCCATCACAAAACCATTTATTATTAATATTTTCTATGCAACAATAATAAATATTTGCAGGTAAAAACAGCGGGAAATAGTTTTTATATAATAGTGCAAACTCTGATAACCTCAAATTATAATGAATATTTTTTTCACCATTACTACTACTACTACTACTACTACTACTACTACTACTACTACTACTACTACTACTACTACTACTACTACTACTACTACTACTACTACTACTACTACTACTACTACTACTACTACTACTACTACTACTACTACTACT